AGCAGCTGAGATGCAGGGAGGCATCAGCCCCTGTGGAGACAACATTCAGCCAGGCTTTAAACAAAAAAAAAAAGGTTGCATGATGCTCCTGAATCAGCTCAAAATTTCTCATCCCCAGATGCACAGAGGGGACAACTCCGTCCTCTGTGTGGGGAAACTGAGGCACAGGAGCTGCTGGGAGCTCCCAGGGTGAGCTGAGCTGCACCCACAGCCTCGGTGTGACCTTTGCCAAGATATGGCACCAGGAGAACTTTACAACCTTTATTTTCCTGGTGCTTTTAGATACTCAGTGTTCCTAATAGACAGATTTCTGCCAGCGGATATCACAAGGCAGGGAGAGTCTTTTAAAAGCTCCATTTAGTTCTCATTCCAGCGATCTGCCCTAGGAACACTATTTCCTCCCACCCTGATTTACAGCCCTGTGAGGGATTTTTTTTTTTTAAAAAACAATCTTCATTTTGAGTCATGTTCAGGTTATTTTCTCACTTACGGGAGCTGATGCCACTTCCTGTCAGAGCACAAGGGAAATTCTCTGCTGCATCTGGGCTGTGTCACCTCCTGCCCTGGGGTTTAGGGCCAGTTCTGCTCTGCTCAAGGCTTTCTGAAGGAAAAGGGGCAAAGGAAACCCTCAGGGTGTGGGGTGAGCTGTAGGAGTTCTCCCACAAAGGGCTGTGAGTGTGTTCTGCGGGGTGTGGGGAGGGGGATCAGCCCTGGTTTTAGGGGGGACACCACCAGGCAGGGCAGTGGGCACAGCACTGAGCCTGCCAGAGCTCCAGGAGCGTTTGGGTGATCCTCTGGGGCACAGGGTGGGGGTTTGGGGTGTCCTGCGCAGGGCTGAGGTGCTCCTTGTGGGTCCCTCCCAGCTCAGCACACCTTGTGATCCCATGAGACCCGGCTTGGTGGTGGTGGGAGCCCCCGGAGCCAGAGGGGACACAAATTGGGGACGCGAGTTCCTCCCGCCAAAACCAAGGCGGGTGGGGGAAAAAAAACCCCAAAACACCAAAAATCCTTTATTTGCATCTAACTGGCTTTTTGTATCGCCGTGATAACAGCTTGACAAAATAAACCCCTGGCTTTGATCCCCCCCAGACATGGAGCCCGGGGCTGCCAGCACGTCCCTGCCCGACCCCTCCGGCGACGGCGACCGCAACGTGCCGCGGATCTGCGGCGTCTGCGGGGACAGGGCCACCGGCTTCCACTTCAATGCCATGACCTGCGAGGGCTGCAAGGGCTTCTTCAGGTGAGCAGGAACCGGGAATGAGGCGCTGGAAAGCGGTGCCAGGGCCTGGGGGTGCCCTGGCAGCCAGGAGGGCCAAGCGTGTCCTGCCTGGGGGGGCATCGCCGGGTGAGGAGGGGATTGTCCTGCTCTGCACCCGCCACGTTGGGGTGTTTGGGGCACCAAAATGTAAGATTTTAAGGCATTAAAGAGCATCCAAAGGAGGCCACGAGGGTGGGGAAGGGCCCTGAGGGGAGGGGCTGAGGGCACTCGGTGTGTTCAGCTGGAGAAGAGGAGGCTGAGGGGAGGCAGCATTTTGGGGAAGGCTCAGTTTGAGCCCTGTCCCAGCGATGCTCCAGGACTGACCCATCCTCATGGCAGTCCAGGGCACTTGCATCAAGTGAGAGAATGACTAATTGCTGGTGAAATGAAGGCACGTGATGATGATGATGATGATGATGGCGTGGGATGGGCTGGGAAGAGCCTTGCTCAAGTGTTCTGCACCAGCAAGGCCCAGTTTACACCTTTGAGCTGGGCTCTTGCAGGGCTTGAACTTCTGCAACAAAGCCATAACTCCTCCTCTGGCAGAAATCTGGGGGTTTTCACAGGCCACAGTTTTCCGTGACCTGTTCTCAGCCACGGTGGCTCTGAAGTCACCAGCCAAGTCACCACGACACTTTCCCCAATTCCTGCTGCTAAACTCTTCTCTCAGGTGCTCTCCCCTGCTCTGCTCTGGTCTCCCTGCCACCTTCCCCATCCCTGTGGTGACAACAGGCTGGCTTTTGGTCCCTGGAATGGCCAGTGCCCCTTTCCTGAGTGTGACGTGGCTCTTGCACCCCCCTGAGCCCCATCTCTGTTGTCACACCCCTGGAATCGTGCAGGACCCTCACCTGGGACAGTATTTCTGAGCAGACACCATTGTGTGAGAAGCTCTCCTCCCTAGCCAGCCCTTCATGCCCCAATCAAAGCCTTTATTTTCAATTTAAGGCTCTTGCTGCTTTTTAATCTTGCTTTCCAGGCACGCTCTCCCCAGGCCAGGTCTTGGTGTGTTCCCCTCTTGTTTACACTGGCACCTTTACCCGCCTTTTTCAACCCCTGAATTAATTAATTCTTGCTGCTGCCACAGCATTGAAGTGCTTTCTGCTGCTGGGAGAGCCTGGGCACTAAAACTGCCCTGGGGGAAGCTGTGCCTCCCTTTGCCACCTCGGGGTTTATAACACACTGTGTCCACTCGCTGATTTTCAACTCCCAGCTCGCAGATCTTTGAGAAAATCTCTGCCCTGCTATGGATTTTTGGGCACTCCCAGGGCTGGAAGAGGGCGAGCAGCTGGGAATATCATGGGAATATTGAATCCAGGGGCTGTCTCCCAGCTTTTGCTGGGTGAACTCTGCCTGTGAGGTGACTCTGTCCCTCCCTGGGCCGGGCTGGGACCGATCCTGCTGCTCCTGGAGCCTCGTGCGGGTGGTGGAGGGACACGACCTGAGCCTTGGCTCGTGGGGGCGGCAGCAGAACTGCTGCAGGACCCCCCTGGTGGCTCTCACCTGCCTTGGGGACGTACCTGGGACACGATTTCCCCCTGCTCAAAGTCCCCCAGGAGGTCCTGGGTTTAATGACCCCGTTAATTAGGACTTTATTGGCACCTCCGGGCGCACGTAGCCCGGGGCACAAACAGGCTGTCGGCTCTGCTGGCTTCAAAGTCCAGTTGACTGATGATGCCAAGGGCAACAGGGACCTTTTATTGGGCTCTGCTGTTTGCTCAGGAGCTCTGAAGCAGCACCTGAGCCAGAGGGATTTATTCCACAGCCCCTTGGCTGAGGCTTCCGCGGCTTCCCTGGTTCCTCCTTGCAGGTTTTCCCCACTTTCTGCCCCCAAGGTGGGGCATCCCGAGAGCTCCAGGGAGTCCCCCTGCCCTCAGCAGCACCGAGGGGTGACATTGGGAGCTCTGTCCCCATCTCCCACCCCCAGGAGCAGCCCCCACAACCTGGGAGCTCTGCCAACCCCTCGGCCCCGGGTGTCTTGGCTCCCACCCTCGGGCTGGCGTGGAGCAGGGAGGGAGCCTCGTTATTTTTAGCAGCCTGGGATTCTGAAACGAGCCTCGAAATGGCCGGTTCTGGAGCTTTATAAAAACACACACGGGAGCCAGACGTGGTGAGCTCCCGCTGCGGGACCGGCAGCCCCTCCCCGGCCCTACTGGTGTCACTGGGGGCCCCTGGGAGCCACCAGCCGGGACCTTGGAGGGGCAGCAAAGCAGCTCCTGTGCCCTGGGCTCGCGTAAACTGCAATTTTCATTCCAAACCCATAATGTTGGCTTGCCCTTGGACGCGGCACATCTTTCCCTGCCCGAGGGCCTCGTGTTTCTCCGGCTTGTTTGTGCATTCCCCGGCCTTGCCCTGGGCTGTGGGGGAAAAGATGAGCTGCCTGCTGGTCCCAAAGGCTCATAGACACAAGTTATTTCACTCAAAGTGGGTGATTTTTAGGGCGTTCAGCTCCAAATCCTGACTTGCCCTCCAGCTGGGCCGTGTTTGTCCCCGTCCTTGGGGCAGCAGATGTCCTGCTGATCTTGGAAAAAGGGGAAACCCCGGGGAAAAGCTGAAGTTTGCCAAATTGAGAGCCAGTGGCTGGGTGAAACGGGGATTTCGTGGCGTGAGGTGGGTCAGGGAGGGCTCTGCCAGCCCTCTCTCCTCTATTAATTTTCCTGCAAGCATTTATTCATGTCAGGTAAAGGGAGAGCAAAGTTTCTTTGTCGACATCTCCCTTTCTAAAATAGCCTCTAATTACATGCTGCTGGCTCTGCAGCCCGAGGACATATTTTATATTTATTCATATTTATATTTATATTTATACTCTCCCTGCATGGGGCTGGTCAGGGCTGGGGGAGCCCCTCAGTGTCACCCTCAGTGTCACCCCCTTGGTGCCTCCCCTTTGATGCAGGGGTTGTGCCCTGTCAGCTCAGTCTTGCAGAGGGGTTTTAGTGCTCCAAGAGGGGCTCTTTGTGGCAGGAGACTCCTCATCCTCGTGCTGAACTCAGCGTTGACTTGGTGGCAGATTTAGGGATTCATGGAATCCCAGAGCGGTTTGGGATGGGAAGGAACTCAAAACTCATCTCATCCCACCCCTCTGCCGTGGCCAGGGACACCTTCCACCATCCCAGCTTGCTCCAAGCCCTGTCCAACCTGGCCTTGGACACCTCCAGGGATGGGGCATCCTTTGGGAAATCTATTCCAGGGCCTCCCCCCCCTCACAGGGAGGAATTTCTTTCCCAATATCCCATCTAACGCTGCCCTCTGGCAGTGGGAAGCCATTCCCCCTTGTCCTGTCCCTCCAGGCCCTTGTCCAAAGTCTCTCCAGCTCTCCTGGAGCTGCATCTCCGTCCTGTTCTTCCCCTGGGAACATCCCCACTTTGCCTTTGCAGCCTGGCAGCACCCAGGGCTTGGTTTGCCTCCGTTCCAAATCACCTCATTTAAACCCAGGCACCTTTAGAAACCTTCCCAAACGGAGAGAGGAGCTTTGATCACCGAGGAACTTTATCCAAGGCAAAGTGACATCTCCAGAGGCAACAGAGAAACTGCCCTTTGCATGGAGCAGCTCAGCTCCACCTAGAAAATGCCATTTTAGAGCCTCTCACCCTGCTGAAAGGCCCTCCTGGGAGCTCTGGCTTTGCCCCTTTGCCTTGGAAGGTTCTGGCTCTGACCCTTTGACCCTTTGCCTTGGAAGATTTTTTGGCTTTGCCTCTTTGACCCTTTGTCCTTGGAAGATTTACAGCCCCGATTGCAGCGGTGGGTGAACATGGCACAGTGTGGTTTTGGTGGAAGAGAGGCTTGTTATTTTAAGTGTTGTTTCTCTTGTATCCTGCAGTGAGATTTCTTTCTCCTGCACACACAAACATGTGCTCCAGCCAGTTATTCCAGCAAAGCCAGGCTTGAAGGTGGGTAAATGTTTAATAACACGGCCCCCACTCTGCTTTCTTTTGTTGCTGGGGGTGTTTCTCTGCAATCCTTCCACCCATCTCATGGCCTTCAAAATACCTGTTCAGATCCAGAAAGCTGCTTTACCTGCCAGGTTGGACAGGGCTTGGAGCAACCTGGTCTAGTGGAAGGTGTCCCTGCTGGAACAAGATGGGCTTTAAGGTCCCTTCCCACCCAAACCATTCTGGGATTAACCTGTGGTTGAACCTCTTGGCTGTGTCCTTGTAAGTTCTCCTTCTCCACACTGTCCAGCAGTGCCTGAACTTCTAACTCAAAGCTGTAGATGCACCCAACCAGGTGCAGCCTCTCCAACTTCACAGAATCCCAGAATATTCCCAGCTGGACGGGCCCCACAAGAACCATCGAGTCCGGATTTTAAGGGAATGGCCCGTGAGGGGGTTGACCCCACACCTTTGGTGTTGTTAGCACTGGGTTCTAACCAGCTGAGTTCATCTCAGGGTCTTCTCTTGACCTTCTCCAGCTGAACACAGCCAGGTCAGAGACACCCCCAACACCTCCTTGGCAGCATTTTGTCCTCCGGGAGCTGCGTTCGTCCTCCCGTCTCCTCCCGAGGTTTGGAGCAGCCTCTTGGAGAGCCAAACCGGGGCTGACTGGGTGTTTTTCTGCCCCTCCCCAGGAGGAGCATGAAGAGGAAGGCCATGTTCACCTGCCCCTTCAACGGGGACTGCAAGATCACCAAGGACAACCGGCGGCACTGCCAGGCGTGCCGGCTCAAGCGCTGCGTGGACATCGGCATGATGAAGGAGTGTGAGTACGACCCCGGGGCACATCCCAGCCCCAGCTGGGCCATGCCCAGCTCCCTCTCCATCCCCAGGAGGTGGGAAGGGCAGCACAAAACCTGGACACCCTCCCAGGACTCAAAGGGCAGCGGATGTGGTGGGTTAATCATCTGAGAGGAGCTCGTTTAACGATCCCCGTGGGCACTGGGGTGATCCAGGAGCTGCTTTTTCCCGAGGCCAAGCGGCTTTTCCCGGCTCTCCAGGGGCATCAGCTTTTTGTGAGAGTGTCCAGGGAGGTTTGTGGTGGATGCCTGGGCACGCTGGTTGATTCTGTTGCGTCTTGAATTCCTTGGGTCGTGGCTGAGGGCCTCTCTCTGCACTCCAGAGGGTGATGGTAAATTTGCTGGTTAAATTTTAGGCATGAGTTGGGATTTGATTGTGGGGTTTAGATAGAAAAAAACACCTCCTGACACCTGAAGATTATATCCATGCCTAAAATATATCGATGTTTTTATCGGTTGCTACATAAAGACATTTTTCTGCGTGTTTTGGATTTGGGCAGAATGTTTCCTGTATCCTCTCTGCTCGGAGCAGAAAATAGGTATTTTTGAGGCTGATATTTGTGGTTATTTTCCCCCATCAGTTCTCTTTCAGAGGGGCAGTCCTGCAAATTCCAGTGGGCGTGTGTTTTTCCTTACCCTTTGTGTCCTGTGTCTGAGCAAAGAAATTAATGTTCATTGGTTCTGAATTACATAGTTCTCTTTCACTAATTAGTGTTCTACCTATTGGTTATTGATTTCTCACTCTTTATGTTAATTAGTCCATACTTTTAGTCATTTTAGTATCTTTTTTCCATCGGTAGGGACTTTCCAACACAAAGGCTGAGTCTTTGTTGGCCTCTTCTTTATCTTCTGCTTTCTGTGAGATGTCCTTGTGGTCCATAAATTCTGCATTCCAGGTGTCCAACTTCAACAATCCATCTTTCCCTCCCAGGCTTTGTAGGTCGAAGCAAATCAGAGTTAGTTTATCAAAACCTTAATTTCAATTAAGACTTTAATTAACTTCAATTAAAACTTAATTCTCCCGAGCTGTGTTCCCTCAAAAGCACCTTAGGACAACTTTGCTGAATGCTGACTAAGAGTAATTTAAGAACAGCATAATTAATATCTATTGGTTATGATTAATTAAAACAATGAATTAGAAGATAATTAAAACCATTAACTAAAATTATTAGAAAGTTCTATCCTTTCCAACAGAGCTGGGTTGTGTTTTCCTCCTCTGTAGCTCTGGGCTGGTTTTTTTTTGGGCCCTGCCATGTGGGTCCCTCCAGCCACGTGCACAGCAGAGACTTAAGTAAACAGCAGAGGGAAGCAAAGTAGTTTTTAACCCAATCCAAACACGCTAATGTTGCCCAAATATTTATTTTCCTCGGCTGTATTTATGGATAAGCAGCTTTTAAAAATAAAATGTGTTTGACGTGCTCCCTCCTACGTCGCACGAGCTCTCCACGGCCCGGCTCCTGGGGAGGAGGTTGGTGGTCATGGGGTGTTCAAACCCAACAACAGCTCCTGCTGGGAGACCGTGGGCAGGGGTGTCCATGGACCTGGGAGCCTGGAAAATGGAAGGGGTGCTCCTTGCCTCGTGTGGGGAGCAGGGAACAAACAGTGCCACCAAAAGCCTCTGGGTTCTCCGGGGAAATCAGAGCGGTTTGGGGAAATTGGAACGTGGAGGGGTTTGCAGGGAAGCAACACCTAAACATCCCACGGTCCTAAAGATCCCTGATGAAGAGAAAAATCCCTGGATATTATCCTTTTAAACTAGAGGGAGAGAAAGGCCACACAGGGCACTGTCTACCCCCGTGTTTTGGGGAGCACAAGGTGCCCACCCGGTCGCACGGCTCCTTTGGGGCTCATTCCGAGCTAATGAGGGAGATGTTTTGACCTGTACTAATTACTCAGGGCAGGCTGGAGAGTGCCTGGGCAGAGATGCCAAGCTGTTTGCTCCAGGTGCCAGGGACGGGCATGTTCTCCACGGGAGTTAACGTGTAAGTGACCCCGTTAGCAAACCGTGACTGGATTAACCAAAACCAACCCCCCGGGACTAAAAATAACCTTCCATGGACTTTGCCACCGGAGACTGCTGTTATTTTTAGATGGAATAAGGCATCTTGAAGCTTTTGAGGGGGTTGGTGTCTTCCACAAGGCTGTTGTTTGTGTTTGGGAATGTCCCTGTGGCTCTGGAAGGCAGGTCTCCAGCCTGGGGATGCCTCTGGCTGCCCTGTTCCCTTCCTGCTGCTTTTTCCTGGGATGACGCTTGGCATGAGTGGGCTGTAAAGCAGGGCTGAGGGGCTGGGGCTGGACTATCCCACCTGCTGTGCCACTGCTTTAGGTGGCCAGAAAATGGGAGGGGGGGAATTACTCCTTCCCTGCAAAACTGCCCTTTTTCCTGGAGCTGAGGAAGGGACACCCATCCCTCGGGGGTTGGATCCACAGCATGGGCTCCCTCAGGGAATTCACCTCCCAGTGTCTCTGCCCCTTCTCCCCCAGCCTTTAACAGCTCCTGTGTTCTCAGTCTTCACGTGTTCTCCAGAGAAGGTGGTGCCACTCAACCCTCAGCACCCCTTATCCCTTTTCCAAGGAAAAGGCTTGCTGGGATGTGGCTGGAGTCCTGAGCAGCTGGTGCTCAGCGCCCTCCCCATGAGGTTTGATTTATGATCTCAGGGCTGAAAATCCCCAGAGGGGAGGATCACAAAAACAGAACCAAACCAGCATCTCACAGCCAGGGAGAGGAGCAGAAATGGGAAGGAATTTCCCTGGAATTTCCCCAGATGCTCAGGGGAGCAGGAAGGGTTATGGTTGTGTAGGGTGAGGGTGAGCAGGGAGGGACACAACCTCTCCTGCTCTCCTCCACTTCTCAAAGAGGTGGTGGCCCTCAAAGCCAAGACATCCCTGCTGCTCTAAGCATGGGATGTGTTATTCCTGAGCCTGGGAGCTGCTGCCAGACTCTGGCACTCCCAGATGTTTCCTAAACTTCCTTTTTCTTTTATATTTGGCTGCTCTTTCCTGCTTGATGGAGCCTTTGTGCTGCTCCCCCCCACCCACCCCGTCCTGCAGCACTTCCAAGCCCCTGGTTTTGGCCAGGGGTGCAGAGTTGGATCCTCACCCTGTATCCCTGTATCCTCGTGCTCCACAATCCCAGCGGTGTTGGCCGTGGCTTTCCCTGCTGCCTTGTGGCGTCTCCACAGAGGGCCAGTGTCTGGCTGGATGTGATGGGCAGATGTTATCTCGGCCTCCACACGGATTTGGGGTCAGGGCAGCCCACAGAGGCTCAGCCACGGCGCCGGCTGTGCCAGGAGTCTGTGGCTGGATGGCTCTTGGAAAGCTCGGAGCTGGGATGGGAGCTGGGACCTCAGTGCAGGTGTTGAGCCCTTCCCAGCCCTGTATTCCCACTCCCATCCTCCTGTGAGTCCAAATAAGCATCGAATCCTTTTCCCCAGCACTTTATAAAGCAGTGTGGGGGGGTCACTGCGCTGACATCCCTCATCCATGTTATCCCTGCTCCTGTGGGAAAGCTGGTTCCTCTGGCATGGAGCATTTCAGGTTTGCTCCTCATCACCAGAAACAGCTCCTGCCAGGCTGAGAAATGCCACTGCCAGACTGTTGCCAGCCTGGTTGAGGGCTGCATTCCCTAAAAGAGGGTGGGAAATCCCAAGCTGACTTCCCTGGCAGTCTCACCCCAGCACAGAAACATCCTTATCTTTCCATTCCACTCTGTGGATGCCTCCTAATGTTCCTGGGATCATAGTTTGGGTTGGGAGAGACCAATAAAGGTCATCTAGTCCTTGCAGGATCCCAAATTTGCCTGGTGTAACCTGCAGGAATCCCCTCCGAGGCCCCAATCCTTGGGACACTTCCAGCACCGCGGCCACAGCCGAGCACTCGCCTTTGCCCCATCCTCCTCCTCAGCCCCACACGTGGCTTCCCCCACCAGTTTCTCCCCTTGCATGCAGTGCCCACATGGATCTGATGCTTTTGTACGAAGAACTGGGAGGGGGGATGGCAAAACTCTCGATTTTTCTCCCCGAGCAGTCGCGCCGTGCCCCGCGGAGCCGCCGTAACGCGCCCGCGGCCGAGGCGACCTCTCAGCTCTATCTGCTCATTCCCGTCTCTCCGAGACCTTCTGGTGCCCTCTGAGGTTGTGCAAGTCTGAAAAGGGATTGGAAAAACGCCGCTGGCTAAAGGAGCAGGGACAGCAAACAGCTCCTTGCCTGGAGCCCCACGGCTGCAGCTCCCTCCCCGCCCTTCGCCAACCTCTCGGCCCAAATTCCACCTCGACTCGCCCAGAGTCAAATCTCCTCACGCAGGGCAGGCTCAGCCACCTCGGCATCAGATAACACGCTTGGGGTTTTCTGTAATGCCCTGGTGAAAGGGCTAATAACAGCCTGAGGAAGGGGAATTGCTATTTTTAGGTGGATGTGTGTTACCAAGCGCTTTCGGGAGCGGGTGACGCGGCTACAGGGATGGAGGTTGAACCCAAGAGATCTGTGCAGCTCCCTTGTGCTTTTCTTCTCTTTCAGCCCTCTCAAGCCATTGGCATCTCCAAGCTCTTTTTTATAAAGTTAAAATTTGAGCCCAGATTGTCTGTGGCTGCTCCCCTTCCCTAAATAAAGGGGACAATCCTAGTGTATCACCAACCCCTGGCTGCTTCCGAGAGCCATCACCCCTAACACAAGCCATAAATACCCACCCCTGGGAGTGGGGGGTGTTTATGTGTGCCCTTAGCTTAAACATAAGGTTAGAACTCCCCTGGGGATGCTGCAGAAGTGCTGCTGGATACCCAGGGTGGCAGCTGGGGCGGAGCGGAGCCGCGTTGGGCACTGGAGCTGGGTGAACCCACTGACCCGAGTCTGGCGGGATCAGGATTTCGGTCACCTGGAAAGCACAGAGCAAACAGCAAGGGAGCAGAGCGGGCGTGTGGCAGTGCTCATGTGGCCTTATCTCACCCAGCCCTTGCCTAAAAGCACCATAAACTGCCGGGCACAGCGGGAAGCCGTGACCCGGCAGCCGAGGTGACAGCGGGGTGGGGTCGATGCGGGTTCAATGACTGATTATCCAGGCCATGGGGACACTCTCTGCCGCAGCCTGGGGTTGCTGCAGTCCCTGTTTCTGCCCCTTCCCCTGCCCCACAGTCATCCTGACGGACGAGGAGGTGCAGAGGAAGCGGGAGATGATCCTGAAGCGCAAGGAGGAGGAGGCGCTCAAGGAGAGCCTGAAGCCCAAGCTCTCGGAGGAGCAGCAGAGGGTCATCGACATCCTGCTCGAGGCCCATCGCAAAACCTACGACCCCACCTACGCCGACTTCTCCAAGTTCCGGGTACGGCCGGGCCGCCCCCGCCCCCGTGGGCACCCCCAAGATGTTCCAAACCCCTCTCACCCCTCAGAGAGGAGTTAAAAATCCCCCTGCGGAGCCCTCGGTGCTCATGGGGAACAACCACCACACATCCCCTTCCCAGCCCTGTTCCTCACGCCCTGCCCTTCTCTTCCAGCCCCCCGTGAGAAGCCACCCCCCCAACGGGGGGGCAACAAAGTCCTCCTCTCTCCTCACCCAGGACCTGTCGGAGGAGGATTCCACTGATCTCTTCGGCTCCGATGCCTTCAACACATTCCCAGGTACCACACTTGCTTCCCCGGGAGTGACAGGGGGAGAAATGCAGTAGCTTGACCTAAACCTGACACTTCAGAGCCTTGTTTTACCTCCTGTGGGGGCTCATTTAGCTGTAAAACCCTCCTGGGGGTGTTGCACCATCACGCCCTGAGCGTCTCCCTCTCTCCAGAGTCCGTGGAGCCCCGGATGTTTTCCAACCTGGTCCTCTCCGAGGAGAGTGACGAGAGCTCCTCCATGAACATCGAGTTCTCCCAGCTCTCCATGCTCCCACACCTGGCTGACCTGGTCAGCTACAGCATCCAGAAGGTGATCGGCTTTGCCAAAATGATCCCGGGATTCAGGTGAGACGTTTGCTCCCAGATCTGGTGTCCAAGGCGGTTTTCCACTCTTGGGAATCCTGTCCTACCCTCCACAGCCAGATCATGTTCTCTGCTTCCCCTTCACAGCTGTCCCTCGGCTCTGTCCCCTTCCCAGGTCTGTTCCTACTTTGATGTTTTCTGTCTCTCCTCCTTCCTGTGGTTCTCCTCTCCTCTCTTTCCAAACTCTGGAAAATTCACCCAAACTCTGTCAACGAAACAACTCGAGCTGCTGCACCCTGAGGGGTTTGTGAAGGGCCCTCAGATCCTGTTTCACTCCAGGCTGGTGCCCAGGGCATGGACAAATGCACCTGGAGGAACTCCTGACACAGAAACCGTGGGGAGGGAAGAGCTGGGCTGCCCCAGGGATGGGGTGACCGATGGGACCCTGATGGGGGTGGTGGTTTCTGTCCCTCTGCTCGTGGACAAGTCTCACCTCAACCTCCCCTCCCTGTGGTGCAGGGACCTGTCAGCAGAGGACCAGATTGTCCTGCTGAAGTCCAGTGCCATCGAGGTGATCATGCTGCGCTCCAACCAGTCCTTCACCCTCGAGGACATGAGCTGGACCTGCGGCAGCAACGACTTCAAGTACAGGGTCAGCGACGTCACCCAAGGTAAAGCTGCCAGACCCTCCCCTGCTAAGGAATCTCGTCCCAGCCTTAAGTTCAGGCGCAGAAATCCCATGGGTTTTTCCCTGGAAAGCCATTCCCTCTGCACCCATCAGGAAAGGTGCTGGACTGTGCCCTGAACCTCTTCCACTCAAGGATTTGAGGGCCAACGTTAAGAACAGAGGGTGCAGGTGGCAGAGCAGGACCTTAAATCTGCATGGGAGATCCTCTTCCAGAGCCAGCCGTGCTAAAGGTCCGTTCTCTTCCCAGCTGGCCACAGCATGGACCTGCTGGAGCCGCTCGTGAAATTCCAGGTTGGCTTGAAGAAGCTGAACCTTCATGAGGAAGAGCACGTGCTCCTCATGGCCATCTGCATCCTGTCCCCAGGTAGGACCTGGCCAGGGGTTGGTGTGTCCTCAGAGAAAAGGGTGGGAGTCATTCCGAATATGGGGGGTGGTTTTGGGCACCGCAGTATAGGGAAGATATTGAGCTGTTGGAGCATCCAAAGGAGGGTAACGAAGGTGGAGAAGGACCTTGAGGGGCTGAGGGCACTTGGTGTGTCCAGCTGGAGAAGAGGAGACTGAGGGGAGACCTCACTGGGGTCTTCAATATCCATGGAGAGGCAGAGGAGGGGCAGGGACTGAGCTCTGCTCTGGGTGGACCAGGGACAGGACCCAGGGAATGTTCTGGAGCTGTGCCAGGGCAGGGTCAGGTTGGACCCTAGGGAATGTTCTGGAGCTGTGCCAGGGCAGGGTCAGGTTGGACCCTGGGGAAAGGTTCTTCCCCCCGAGGGTGGGTGGGTTGGTGGTTTGCCAAGGCTGCCAGAGCTCAAGGGGTGTTTGGGTGATCCTTTGGGGCACAGGGTGGGATTTTGGGGTGTCCTGTGCAGGGCACAGGGTTGGACTGGGTGGTCCTGGTGGGTCTCTTCCAAGTGGGCAGATTCTGGGATTCTGGGATGTCCTGGAGCTGTGCCAGGGCAGGGTCAGGTTGGACCCCAGGGAAAGGTTCTTTCCCCCAAGGGTGGCTGGGCACTGACCAGGCTCCCCAGGGCAGCGGGCACAGATCTCCAGGAGCATTTGGATGCTCCTCCGGGGCACACGGGGTGACTCCTGGGGATGGTTGAGGGTCGGACTGGACGATCCCTTGGCGATCCCTTCCAACTCGGCATCTCCCATGATCCCCGGTGTTCCCCAGACCGCCCGGGCGTGCAGGACACCTCGCTGGTGGAATCCCTGCAGGACAGGCTCTCGGAGATCCTGCAGACCTACATCCGCTGCCGGCACCCGCCCCCGGGGAGCCGCCTGCTCTACGCCAAGATGATCCAGAAGCTGGCGGACCTGCGGAGCCTCAACGAGGAGCACTCGCGGCAGTACCGCTGCCTGTCCTTCCAGCCCGAGCACAGCATGCAGCTCACGCCGCTCGTGCTCGAGGTCTTCGGCAACGAGATCTCCTGACTCGGGTGTCCCGAGGAGCTGAGCCAGCCACGGGCAGAAGGGAGAAGCCAACCTGGCTTTTCCCGAGCTCCCGGGCAGGAGTTTTGTACCTTGGGTTTGGTTTCGTGCTCCTGGAAGCCCTGCTTTGTTTGCAGGTTGGCAGGGATGGACCCGGATCCGTGTGGTTTCCCCACCAGGAGCAGCTTTCCCTGCTGTCTGTGCAAACCGATTTATCCCCTTATGGATGTTTTGGGGCTGGGCTGCCTCAAATCCCTTCTTTTTTTCGCCTGGACAGTGGGGCTGTTGGGAAGGAGAAGCACTTGGGGTGGTTTTGGACTCGGGGCACCGCTGACCATCCTCTGCTCCCACCCTAAGTCCCACAGCACTCGCCCCCTGCCCACTTCCAAAGGGAGATGCCAGTGGGATTGAACACCCCAAGTCCCAGCCAGGAGGGGCCATGTCCCCACGGGTGACCAGCTCAGACACATCCCGGGTGCCACCGTTGGACTGGGATGGGCCAGAAGCAACTGAGTGAGCTCAGAGAGGGGGAATTTGTCCTCAGCCCCCAAAGGAAAGAACTTTATTTGCATTCCCAGCGCTGCCTGGAGGTGGGGGGGCAGGGGAATCTCTGGGTGACTTCCCCACCACCACCTTTGGAGCTGAACCCCTCTGTGTGATGGGATGACAAGCCTCTGGATGGGGAAACGACCCCCGGGATGGGGGAACGACCCCCCGGGATGGGGCAACAACCCCCAGGATGGGGGAACGACCCCCGGGATGGGGGAACGACCCCCGGGATGTGGAGATGACCACGGTCCCAGCTCGGCTTCCTCCCCCTGCCGCGTTCTGTGTCCTGCTGGAAGCAGCCCTGGAGGCAGCTCCGTGCCACTGTCCCGACCCGGGGCCGGTGGAGCGAACCCCGGGAAGGGGGATTTGAGATTTAGGAGCTCCGGGAAAAGGCGTCACAGCCCCCCCGGGCCGTGCACAATGTCCGGAGGGGCCCCGGCTCCCGGCGGCTCCTGCTCCGGCCAATAAACTCCTGCTTGGGCAAATCAACACAGCCCCGGGCTGGCGTGGGGACTGCGTGTCCGTCTGTCCATCCGTCCGTCCGTCCATCCCTCCGTGTCCGTCCCGCTGCGTCCGTCTCTCCATCCGTCCGTCCGTCCCTGTGTGTCCATCCCGGTGTGTCCATCCGTCCATGGGTCCCCGTGTGTGCCTGTCCGTGTGTCCCTGTCTCTCTGTCCCCGTCCCCGTGTCCCTGTCCCCGTGTCCCTGTCCCTGTGTTCCTGTCCCTGCCCTGTCCCCATGTCCCT